ACCAAGCTACGGCTGATCAAGGCCATCGCCAGACCTCAGCTCGCTTACGCCTCCGCGGTCTGGGGTACGCTGCCCCCAGCTACCGCAAGCGACTTGCTGCTCTAGAGATGAAGCTACTCCGGATCGCCACCAGTGCACCATCCTACGTAAGAAACTCAACCTTGCGTAGAGACCTGCATTAGGACACCATCCACGAGTACATGAGGAAAAAAGCGGAGAACACCTTCGAGAAAGCTCAGAACCACCCGAGCGATTCCTCATGGACTACGATCCGGACGAGAGGCCTCGCAACCGCAGAACCAGGTACCCTAGACCAAGGTCCCAGTTGGCACCCGCTAACTGGAACCTTGAATAGGAGAATAGGAGAACCCGCGGTTGCCCCTCTCCCCACGGCGTGGATGCAGAGGACCAGGAACCACCGGAACCAGGACCCACCGGGACCAGGACCCACCAGGACCAGGACCCGCCATGACCAGGACCCACCAGGACCAGGACCAGGAACAACATATTGGTAAGAGGACTTGAAACTCTTGATTTTTCGAAAGCAAGAGTTTCAAGAGAACCTAGCAGACCCTCTATCGATGATCGTTTAACGACATCGATAGAATGTGCGAGGTAAAGGGAACCAACCCGGCGTTCCCAGAGACTGAAAACACATGAAGAGACGTTGTAGCAGACGCAGGTCACACCACAACACATGGCCTACCGAGACGCTGATGAGTCGGGCCACGCGGAGGTTTAGGGTTTAGTGGGTATTAGGTGGTCTCCTCAAGACAACCTGGAGTCCCACACACGCCGTAGCTCGGGCTATGGTATGGTGCGTAAACGCATTCCCCCCTCACCAAAAAAAAAAACATTAACTTTCATAACACCGCTGATTGTCGTCATATTGTGTCACCGCGTAATGTCTGTACTCACCATCCTCGTCTCGATCTCGATGTCCACTTTCTGGCGCATCCTCCGTCGCTTAGCCTGCAGCAACCGGCGTACAAACGAAGAACCCTGAAGATCGCTGGCCGTCTCTGCGCCATCTATCGAGCTGTCTGACAGCTGCCACCGGTCCCGTCGTCGCCGCCGCATAGAGGGCGCTGAGAGCGCGCGGTCGGTTTGCGGCGGTGAACAGGACAGGCCTTCGTCTTTCGCGGGGCATTTGCGGACTTTGGTAGTGGCTTTCAGGGCAGCGAATTGGCAGATGTCGCCCTCGGCTGGAAAAGAGAAAAGGTAGTTTAGAAAATAAGGTATTTGGAATCGCGTATCACATTTGTCAATGTCAAATTTTCAGGAAAATAACTCCGACTCAATAAAAAATGTATCCGATTTAATTCACGGTATCGCAAACATTCTAAGCGGTTTTTCAGATCGTGTATGCAACGTTTCTCTCTGGAAATATACAGGCTGTTTTCAAAGTTGCGTCATTATTTTAACTGCTTATAGGACTATTCAAAAGGAGTTGTGATCGAATAATTTACTATTTAAAAGTTGCATAATAAACGAAATAGTAAGAGATTAAAAATTTTTAACAATAAGAATGTTATTACACATATTTTTTTGAATTCTCGACCACTCCCGTGTAAAAACGTTTTTTGTTTACTACTCTTACTCGACTGACTTTTATTTTTTGTTTTTGTCGTGTTCCATCTCTAGCTTGACCAGACTATTAATCTCCACCCTTCGCCAGTAACCAATAACGGCAACGTTAGTGATGACTAAACCGCTCATTCGAAATGTTTCGCCTTTAATTTCAAACAAATTAATTGATGAGTTAAAGGAATCTAAAATCGCGTCTGATGTTTTTTCTCGCGTCGAGGATATATCGTGCTCTCAAGATGCCGAGAACGAAACATAAAACCCAGGAATGCAGTGGTAACTTGTAAACCGCGGCAATAAACGTTTAAAAAGTTGTGTATCATTGAAAACGGCTGACCACAACGCGAGCTTGGATCTATCAGCGATTTACCGACTAATAGTTGGAATCTGTCTACCAAATCCCAGATTAAACTGTAACAGTGATAAACGCTTCTAATTTATGGTTTACGATCGATCCTACGATTTTATCACCTTGGTAATTAACTATTAAGACTAGCGTATTCATTATACAGATCATTCTGGTCTGCGTAATCTGAATGCCAATCGTATAAGTTCTGATTACGAGGAAAGTTACAGCAGATAACGTCAGCTTCTTTTGACATTTGGTACCAATTAAATCGATAGCTTAAATGCCAAAATTACGTTGGAAATCAAGTTTATGCAGTATTTGTTATATCAAAATTCTGTATAATTTTTTTTTAATCCACGTGGTTATTAAATAATATTTCGACGGAATTGTTTACCACTAATGAAATAAACGAATCTCCATAACTGCTGAAGCTCGTTGCTTGCCAAACTCTCTAAACTAGGTTCAAAGACTCATTCTCCTCTACGTTGTGTCGTATTTCAATTACAATCTTGACGTAAATACCTCACTATCACGATATATTTTCTATGAAGCTACGTGTAATTGCTGTCATTTACGTTTATTGCACAGGTAGGAACGGTAGTAATTAAATTTTACTACGAGCTATTAAAGTTTTTCTCAATCTCCATTGAAATTACAACCTACAACGACGTTGCAATAAATATCTACGGTATCGCGGTGAAAAAATCTTCCACATTTTCATCGTATGAAGATTCTTCTTAACATTGTTATTGAGAGAACTGAAGAATCACTGTAGTAAGATTGTATACAGGGTATCCTGGAAGGTTGGACCGAAGCTAATTTGTGGTATAAATCACAATATTTCTCACTAGTGTGAGAGAAGTATTATGTTTACATTCCATTCTGACAGAATAACTTCCATCTGACTTAGCGTCTCGTGATATAATATCAAGACTAGCGCAGTTGCTGGCACGCTAACGCTATGCAAAATATTGCACGTTGATGTCTTTATTTAAAACCTCACGTAGCGCAGTTGCTGGTATGCTAATGCAATGCTAGCGATAACTTTATCCCTATCTCTAATCATTTTTATCCTTGGCATCTTTGATCTGGTATCTGGTATCAGGTATCCGGTATCTGGTATTTGGTATCTGGTGTCTGGTGCCTGCTATCTGGTATCCGGTGTTGGTATCTGGTATCTGATGTCTGGTATCTGGTATCTGGTGTCTGGTATCTGGTATCTGGTGTCTGGTATCTGGTGTCTGCTATCTGGTATCCGGTGTCTGGTATCTGGTATCTGATGTCTGGTATCTGGTATCTGGTGTCTGGTATTTGGTATCTGGTGTCTGGTGTCTGCTATTGGTATCCGGTGTCTGGTATCTGGTATCTGATGTCTGGTATCTGGTATCGGTGTTCTGGTATCTGGTATCTGGTGTCTGGTATCTGGTATCTGTTATCTCTTTACCTGGTATCTGGTATAAGGTATCTGGTATAAGGTATCTGGTATCAGGTATCTGGTATCTGGTATTTGGTATCTGGTGTCTGGTGTCTGGTATCTGGTATCTGGTATCCGGTGTCTGGTATCTGGTATCTGATGTCTGGTATCTGGTATCTGGTATCTGGTGTCTGGTGTCTGGTATCTGGTGTCTGTTATCTGGTATCTGGTGTCTGGTATCTGGAATCTGGTATCTGTTTATCTCTTTATTCTGGTATCTGGTATCTGATATCTGGTGTCTGATTTCTGGTATCTGGTATCTGGTGTCTGGTGTCTGGTTTGGTGTCTCTGTGTCTCGTGTCTGGTGTTTGGTATCTGGTATCTGGTATCAGGTATCTGGTATCTGGTGTCTGGTATCTGGTATCTGGTGTCTGGTGTCTGGTGTCTGGTATCTGGTGTCTGGTATCTAGTGTCTGGTGTCTGGTATCTGGTGTCTGGTATCTGGTGTCTGGTATCAGTATCTGGTATCTGGTATCTGGTACTTGGTATTTGGTATCTGATATCTGGTGTTGGTATCCGGTGCTGGTTTCTGGTATGGTATCTGGTGTCTGGTATCGGTATTGGTATCTGGTATCTGGTCTGGTGTCTGGTATCTGGTATCTGGTATCTCGTATGTGGTGTCTGGTATCTGGTGTCTGGTATCTGGTATTTGGTATCTGTTATCTCTTTATCTGGTATCTGGTATCTCGTTTCTGGTATTTGCTATCTGGTGTCTGGTATCTGGTGTCTGGTGTCTGGTATCTGGTATCTGGTA